TTAAAGAAAAAACTAACTTAGCCAGTGACAACAACAACAATAAAACTGTTCATCAATTATCAGTCTTCTTTGCATAGTCAGTTCTGAGTAATGGCTTTAATAGTTTTGTATTGATCTTATATGTCAGCTTTAGTTTTGCTGCCATTATTGGCATATCATAATAATCCACTGGCAGGAAAAAAGCATCATTTGATATCTTCTTTGTACTTTCCTCATAGTTAGGTGCTGGTAGAGAAGTGTTCATTCTGAATCATCTCACTTCACAAATGATCTCAGTTTAAAGGCAAAACCCTAATTTTTTGAGGTGTGAAATAAGCTGTTCTGAGATTTTTTGGAATAAATTTTAGACATATTTAGCATGCCGAACATTTGAAATATTTTAAGCATCTTTGTTAATTCATTAACTTGTGTTATATCATTTTAATATGAAAAAAATGTTTCTGTTTAGTCTTTAGAAGGTAATAGTTGGCTTGTATGGCATTAAAAACATTTTGTATTCTTAGATACATCAAAATTTGACAGTGATGAAGAAGATTCAACACCAGTCTTTTCTTCATCTTTTATTCCAAAACAAACAGAGACACTTTCAAGTAAAACAGTTGTTACTAAAAAAGGCAAGTGTTTGAAATTTACTAGTTATATTTACTACTTTACTTGCTCTTCTAAATTCAATGCTCTTGATAATTATTATAAAAATATAAAAAATAATACTTTCATGTCTTAAGATGAGAACATGCTAAACATTGCTCTGATAAAACCTGTAGAAAACTCTGTCCTTCTGAAACACTGGTATGGTACCGAATACAATCTAGCACATAAAATCCATCTTTTTGTAATAGTTTTGAAAATACTGCCTGAAAAATAGAATTAAATTTGTTAAAAGTTTGTTCCCATTATCAATAGAAGACCAAAAACAAGTACTGACCCTTCCTACATATTTATATGTGCTAGGGTATGGGACAGGGAAAGAAGGATTGGTAGAAATCTAATCTGTTGATGCTTCTTAAATGGCTGATACAATTTAATATTTATTTACATAATTAACAGCAAAACTATCATCAGATATGCCCTCTAAGCTGAAAAGGTCTCCTAAACCTAAGAAGATGGAACTAATAAACTCTGATTCAGAAACTGAATTTGGTATTCCAAAGAAGTCCATAGTTCCCAAAGGTAAAAAAAAAAAAAAGCTGTTGTTTTAAACTTCCAATTGTCTTAACGCTGTGATACACATTTCTAATCTTATTATTTAACATTAATTGATTTTTTTGTTAAAAGCAGTAGCTAAAATTTGCTAAGACATCTTTTTCTTATATATGTATTTTTAATGTTTATATACACTGAAAAAAAATTAAAAATATTTACTGAATTTATATTCATCAAACAAAAGCAAGTATGTTAGTTTTATTTTATTAAAGAACCCCTTAATATTAAGATCTCAGAACAATGTAAAATCAATATTGAAAACAGACACAATAGAAAGGAAAAAGTAATTTGAACTACCTTCAATACCAATAAAGGCTGTCCTTGATTTAAAATATTTCAGTTAGTGACTGTTCAAAGTTATAGTAGCACCGAAAAAAGTGACTTATGACCATTTTTCACACCATTGCAGCATCCCTGGTCATGTGATCAAAATTCAGATACTTGACTCATAGTTATGATGGTTGCAGTGTTCCAGGATTATGTGATTATTGCGAACTTCAGATGAGCAAAGTCAACAGGGAAGCCAGATTCACTTAACAACTATGTTACTAACTTAACGACTGCAATCACTGAACTATAGCAAGAATGGTCTTAAAATGAGACAAAACTCACTTATCAACTGTGTCGCTTAGCAACAGAAATTTTGGGCTTAATTGTGGTTGTAAGTCAAGGGCTACTTATACAAAAAGAGTTCAAATATCATACGCTCTTATATTTTGCAAAATGTAGCCCTCCCAAAGTGAGATGCAGAAAAGTGCTTCTTGGCTATCCTTAATATTCAAGAAGGTTCATTCTGGAAGAGGAATTCCATCAAGTATCTGGGCCTACTTCATCAACATGTATTTCAGAAAGGAATCAACATAAATGCAAAGTTTGCCTGAATCTGCTTTTTGGCAGAACAAAAAATGAAACTAGCTTGTGTCTCATAGTAACACATAACAATCCAGCAACAGCAACTAAAACATCCAGATCTTAATTTCTTGTCATGGCAGAGGTAAAGAAAATATGGAGGTCACAAGACAGATTTGACTCAATTTCAATTTGTTTAGTAATCTGTCGGCCAACAACTTCTACAGTATTTTGTACTTAATGAAATTGTTGACCTTTGTGAATATAGTTTGTGAATGCTTTCAAAAATTAAAATATGGAATACTTTACAAATACTTTGCATGTGATAATAACACAGCTGATATCCTTAAGGCCAGACATTACAATTTCAAGAACAATTACAGTTATTGCAGGAATTGTAATTTTATAAATGAACTCTGGAGACCACTGAAAAGTTATTTTCATGTTTAGAATTAAATCTACAAATTAATTCAATCTGTGACAGAGGGAAACAAGCAAATCAATTGAATGTTTGTCTTCTCTAGATTAAGCTTCCATTTTTATGTTTAACTTCTTACTTATTAGCCAATTTGAATAAAGTTTGATTGGATTCTTTACATTTTGATGATAAGGAAAAACCTGGGTTTCCTTCAATGCCCCAGTGCTTGGAAACTCCAAGAAACATCTGTAAGCATTTCCATAGGCAAAGTATAAAACTGTAAAAGAAAAAGCAGAATTAAGACACAAAATAAAACCAGCTACATATACCAACTAAAAGTTCAAACTATATTTATTATTGATTATTAAGAATCTAGCCGAGTTAAAAAAACAAAAACAAAAACAAAAAAAATTCTGCCAGACTAAATAGCAAATAATAGATTTTGGGTTAACGATTATGGTTTAACTTATCAGAAAAAAGGGGTTTCATGTAACTATTGGTTGCTATAGCATTTAAGAGATTTCTGTCTATGATATTTTCATCTATTAATATCCTGTTAAGGATAGTGATCTGCTAAGTTTTACTTTTTATTAATATAATAATTAAATTTGGATACACAATTTCTCAAGAATAAAATCATACAGCTTCTGTCTGTCATTCAGTCAAGGACCTTGCTTTGAGAAATTGGTTATACAGTAACAAATAGCAAGGAATCTTGGTTCTATTAAATTATCTGAAAGTAATAGTAATTCTAAACAATTTTATATTTAATGATTTCTCTTTAAAATGTTATTTAAATTTTATTTGTTTACTATGGTGATAGTGTTATCTATTCAGTTATATCATTCAGTTTTATATTTTATTATGGTAAAATATAGTCAGTGAACTGAGATAGATTCTCCCTTCAATCTTTTAATAGGAAAAGGCAGGGGAGCAAAAAAAAGGAAAGCATCTGGTTCTGAAAATGAAGGTGAATATAACCCTGGAAGAAAACCACCCAAGTCAATTGCAAGCAAGGTAATTTAACAAACTGCTAGATACATTTAATGGTTAATAGCACTAGCAATAATACTTAGACTTATACACCACTTTTTAGTCCTCTCTAAATGGTTTAAAGAGTCAGCATATTGCCCCCAACAATCTGAGTCCTCATAATGAAAGCATTGTAAAATAATTCATGGCTTAGCTTACATATGAATTCTTTTTTTAAAAAAACGCATCTTAGTAGCTTTAAATAGCTACATGATTGAGATTTTCATCACCAGTAACTTTTAATAATTATTTTAAAACAGAAACTGAAGAAAACAGCATTTGATCAAGATTCTGATGTAGACATTTTCCCATCTGACTTTGCTTCTGAAACAACTTCCAGGCCACGGACAGGTCGGGCAAGAAAAGAAGTGAAGTATTTTGCAGAGTCTGATGAAGATGATGATTTTGCTATGTTTTAATTAAGTGCGGAAAGAGCACACAAACTTCCAACAAATTTCTTAAGTTGTCCTTTTGTCCTTTTCTGTCGCAGACTTTTTGTACATTTGACTTATTTTATGTGATGTAATTGATGGATTTTATTATTGTGTGTAGGCATTTTAACATTTTGTTCTTAAACTTACAGTTTTATGCTCTTTTTTACTCATTGAAATGTCATGTGTCTGACCGGCTTGTAGAAATGTTCTAGAAAGCTGTGCAAAAGCACACATTTTAATTGTCATGGTTGCAAACAGCAAACCTTTTTGAAATGAAGTTTAAACATTAAAAATATAAAACCATTTACTTGTGTATAGAGTTTGCTCTAAATAATTTTTGTTTACACAGGGTCAAAATAAATATATTTTATTTTTTGCCAAGAGAATTCATGGAAAAAGATAAACAGCATATGAACATAGAAAGCATTGTTAAACAATCTCAATGTACAAACAAAGCCAGTGAAAGTACATCACAGATTTGCTGGAATATATAAAAAAATCCACTAGTGCTTTTAATGAAACCTTAAAAAAAATGACACTTTAAAAAATTGTAACCATTCTACCACATTTTTGCTGTTTTATGGTGACTAGCAAGGTCATAGACACAGATTCCATCATCCGTTTCAAGGTGTTTTGGTGCCAGCCCTGTGATGTCACAGAAGAGAATGATAGGACTGAGGAACACTTTATCCAGAGTGGGTTTTTTTTCCCCACTAGTGCCATCGATTCAGAGGTAGTGATTATGCCTGGTTGTTATTTCACCAAGTTTTCCTAGTAGGTTGTGAACAAGTAAAATAATATAACACTGTAAAGTGTTTTTGCCTTGAAGGCTATAAACGAAGTAAAATTTCAGTATTTTTAAAAGTAAAGAAGTCAAAGTAATAAATTCTTTGTATATTTTTAAAGTGACATTAACAATAGAACAAATTATATTCAAATAATTGAGCTGGCAGTTACACTCCCACAAAAATTCTGCTAATGCTGTGAAATTCTTTGATCTTTTGCTGGGAAAGAAGTAATACACTGAGGTCTTTAAAAAGAGCAATGATAAGTTTTCATCCTTAGACTGTGTCTTTTAAAACGTTTTTTATCCAGACAAATATGTTATCCATTTCTAAGGGAAGTTTGGGGCATTTCATGTACACATTTAAAAAGGGAAAGCATCGAACATCCAGGATAGAAAGTACATATTCATATATTTTATATGTACAAAGTCATCAGAAATGGTATAACCACAAATTTTAAACCTCCTCAAGATCAATCTTGTCACTTGCAATTGTGGCCATTCAAAAGAAGCAATAGCAACATATCAGTTTGTTTATTTCATGAAATCAGAGATTCAGAGCACAGTCCTACAAATGTAGAGAAATAATAGAATTTACTCCGTGTGTGTGTGTGCATGTGTGTGCGTGTGCACGTATGCGTATGCGCACACCCACATAAACATGATTGTAATTTTAGTGTACTGAACATTTATGTTTCAAATTAAGCTGCACATTATTATTCTTTATGTGTATAAACATACCCATATCTTCACAATATAGATACATATAAACAATTCTTGGTCCTTTTGGATTGTAGTGTCTGTAAAATTCCAGAAAAATAAGCAGCCGTAGAGAGAATATGCCATGTCATCCTTGTACATAGAAGTTAGGAATTTCACTAGAGAAAATTTATTACTGCACCAAAGGAGACTGACTGACACTGCTATTATCTACCAAGCTTGGGGAAATACTTGGACTGTGCTCTGCTGTTGTCACTGTTGAGCTTGGTGTCAATGGTTCATGTCCTTCTGAGTTCTCCAACATTTCCTGGATAAGAGGTGGCATAGATCCAGGGATTTCCATTTTCAGTGTAATAACACGTTCAGCACCTTCAGAACAGAAAAAAATGTAAAAAGTTAGTATTTTTTCCAGTCATGTTTCACTTGTTTCATGAAAGAAATTTAGGCAATATTAGAACTAATACACAGAATAACCCACTTATTACGTAGATTATTGCAGTAAACTATGTCTATATTTGGGTAACAGCAATAGAAAAATTATTCAGGTATTTTATTAGAGTGTTTCCTATCTATTCAGAGCTAGGACAAAGAAAAAGATAAAATCGTAGCTGTGTATTTTTATCTTAGTGCCATATCTGAGCAAATTTAAACCATATAATAGAAAGCTAAGGAAGGAAGGAAGGAAGGAAGGTAGAAAGAAAGAAAGAAAAAGAAAGGAAAGAAAGAAGAAAGAAAGAAAGAACAAATTACAGAGAAATCCTGTATTGGGAAAGAGGACAATTTCTAAGATGAAAAAACATTTCAAAGCATGGAGTCTTTAATTTAGAAAATGTCTATCCAACAGTTCTTCGGAATTTTTTAAATTCTTTCACTGGTATTAAGAAAAAAAAGTCATGCAGTCATGCAGAACATCGATTTTATTTTATTTTTCTATTTGTTAAACTGCAATGGTTCATTTTAACTAGCAGAAAAATATTTATGTTGAATTCAATGAATCTTTTGCTAATATAGTCAACCTTTAGGAGCCATTTTGGATTTCTCTTGTTTTCTGAAAAATGTTCAGAATCAACAGATCTACTAACAAAATTGAGCCTCTTAGCAAAAATATGGCAAAACCCCTTTGTTTGCATATCAATTTATACTAAAAGATATAATTATTAATGTGTTGAATTCATAACTGCCTTAATTTCAAGGAAAATCAAATTTACCCACTTACAGTCATATGTTTTAATTTCTAGGCACAAGTCATGAAGAAAAACATGTTTTGGTTGAGATGTGACACTTGACATTTTCATGTTAAGTAAACCAGGGTCATCTCTATTTTAAAAAGGGGTACAGTTTTGACAATGCAGGCACAGTTGCCATTTTTATTTTTTTGAGCTCTCATGAACACTTCAGAACTGAATGCTCAATCTTTGATTTTTTCATGAAATAATGGTATTCCTCAGCCAATATAGTAGATTTAGCCATACCTATTACTAATTGATCTATATATCTGTGCACTGGTAGCTCATCATATTAGAAGTCTGAATCTGATGTCTCAATTAACTATTTTTTTCCAACCATCCCAACAACTCTAAAACAAGTTGGTAATTCAATTTCCTACTTTATTTTTTTCTTCTTACCATTTTTTTTTTAAATATTGTGATCATGCAATTAGAATTAGTGGCATTACAATCCTAGCCAAGTATATACTACATCATATTTGCTTTTGGAATGAGCTGAGCTAGCAGGAGAAACAGTCAGAGATAACATAGAATTTCCTTTGGACAGTATTTTCACAGAAATGGGGAAAAGATCCATTGATTCATTGGGAAGTCAAAAGAATGACAGGATTCAAAAAGATCTTGACAAACTTGAACAATGGGCCATATCCTAACAAAATGAATTTTAATGTGGAAAAAAGCAGAGTTGTACATTTAGACAGGAAAAATCAAAGATATAAGTACAGATTAGGTAAAACCTAGCTCAAAAACAGTGAGAGGGACCTTGGAATGCTAGTAGATGAATATGAATATGAGCCAAAAGAGTTAATACAATCCTGGATGATATAAACAGGCATAGTGTCAAGATCAAATGAAGTATTAGTACCGCTTTATAAAATCCTAGTAAGACCATACCTGGAATACTGCAACCAATTTTGGACACAATACTACAAAAAAGATGTTGAGACTTTGGAAAAAGTTCAGAGGAGAACAACTAAGATGATCAAAGGCCTGCATACTAAAACACATGAAGAACAGCTGCAGGATTTGGGTTTGGCTAGTCTAAAGAAAAAAAGATTAGTGATGACATGATAGCAGTATTCCACTATTTGAGGGACAAAGAAGAGGGGGTCAATTTATTTACAAAGCACTACAGGACAAGAAACAATGGTTGGAAACTAACCAAAGACCTGGAATAAAGAAGAAACTTCCTTACAGTAACGACAATTAACCAGTGAAACAGCTTGCCTTCAGAAATCGTGGGCACTCCATCACTGGAGGTTTTTAAGAAGAGACCTGACAATCACTTGTCTGAAATAGTATAGGTTCTCCTGCTTAAGCAGGGGGCTGGACTAGAAGACCTTCCAGCTCTATTCCTATTCCTATTCCTATTCCTATTCCTATTCTATTCTATTCTATTCTATTCTATTCTATTCTATTCTATTCTATTCTATTCTATTCTATTCTATTCTATTCTATTCTATTCTGTGACACAGGAAACTGAGACCTATCAGCTTGACATCAATACCTGGAAAGATTCTGGAAAAGATAATCAAGCAATCAATCTGCAAACACCTAGAAGCAAAAAAGTCATAACCAAAAGCCAGCGTGGGTTTGTCAAGAACAGATCAAGCCAGACAAATCTTATTGCATTCTTTGATAAACTGACATTAGTGGACCAGATAAATGCTATGGATATAATTTACTTGGACTTTAGTAAGGTATTTGATAAAGTAGGCCACAACCTACTAACTTAACTACTTGATAAGATAGAAAAATACAGGTTAGATAACATCACCACCAGATGGATTCATAGCTGTCTGGCTAATTGCACTCAATATGTAGTTCTCAATGGAACTTATTTACATGGAGGGAAGTATGCAGTGGAGTACTCCAAGGCTCTGTCTTAGGCCCAGTAATCTTCAATATCTTCATCAATTATTTAGATGAAAGGATAGATGGGGAGCTCATCAAATTTGCACATGACATCAAGCTAGCAGGAATAGCCAACGTTCTAGAACAACGGTGTCAAACTCACAATGACGCATCACCATGTGATATATCACAACTTTTCCCCCTTCACTAAACTGGGGGTGGGGGTGGCCAGCATATGACACATCCGGCCCATGGGCTGTGAGTTTGACATCCCTGCTCTAGAAGATTTAAGATACAGGATATTGACAAACTTGAACAATAGGCTCTATCTAACAAAATGCATAGCTCAATTGTAGTAATTGTGAAAGGGATCATGGAGTCCTAGTGAATAATCACTTTAAATATAAAACAGCAGTGTGCTGCAGCTGCCAAAAAGGCCAATGCCACTCTAATAATGCCTTGTAAGACCACACTTGAAATACTGCATCCAATTTTGGTTGCAATTATATAAAAAATATATTAGACTAGAAAGAGTACATAGAAGAACAAAAATGATTAGGTGATTGAAGGCTAAAACATATAAAGTATGGTTACTGAATAAGGTATGTCTAATTTAATGAAAAGAAGGACTAGGATGATATGATAGCAGATCTCTTTACCTGGCTCTATATATCTACATGGAGATCCTAAACATTACTACTTTACTTAAAAAGTCATTCTGCAATGATAACTTTGATTATTGATGAGCTTTACATAAATCAAATTTATATAAAGTTCATCATGATCATGTAAATCAGAAATTTACATAAGTCAAGAAGTTCAGGATCGGTATTTTTTTTTCATTAAGGAAACTGAAATTATGCAAACATAACAAGCATATCTAAGAGTTGCCATAAAGAAGAAGGAGGCAATCTATTATTCAAAGCACCTGCAGGCAGGACAAGAAGCAATGAATGGAAACTAATCAAGGAGAGAAGCAACCTAGAACTAAGGAAATTTCCTCATAGAACAATTAATAAGTGGAACAAGCTCCCTCCAATAGTTGTGGATGCTCCAACACAAAGTTTTAAAGAAGAGATTGGACAAATATTTGTCTGAGTATAGGGGAGGGGTATCAAACTGATGGCTCACGGGCTGAATGCATCACGCACAGGCCACCCGAGATCCGTGAAGGGAAAAAAATCTTTGCGATATGCCACATGACGGCAATGTGACGTGGTAAGATTGACACCTGTGGTATAGGATTTCCTGCAGGAACAGGAAATCTACTGTAGATTCCTTCTAACGGTGTTATTCTGTAATGCCTTTCTACTAATGCCTTTCTAAAAATGCATTTCTGTAATTCTTTTAGCATTATCCAGCTAGGTCAACAATTGCAATTGTCAACAATCTCCTGTTGACAATACATCTCCATGTTCCTTAAAAACTTATCAAACTCACCTTTTGCACTGATACTGCGTAGATCTGTGATTTTCATTAAGATCTTTGGAAACATGTGAGGTTTGTTGGGTCTTCTTTTTCGGATGTATATTTTGAGAGCTTCTAATAATGGCTCCTGTAGTTCATCTACTTTTGCTGGTTCTTCAAGGTCCTGGCGATCTGAGAAGGTATAATAGTTAAATGTTTGTACTCAAACATTAAACAGTTATAAACACACGCTACGCTGGCTTTCTATTTTCCTTTTACTTGTTCTGAAGATTTCAAAAAAACAATTCCTACTTGTCATCCTTGTGGTAACATTCTTCGCACAACTTGTTTTTTTTCTAACTGGTGAGGCTGCAACAATTGAACTATTTATTTCCTCTTTTCCAGCTGTAAACTATTGCACTGCCAAAAGTAAAGTTTCTTTTATTAATCCAGTTAATTATTTTACCAGCTCTGCTCTTTTTTTGTTTCTTGTTGTTTTTACTGTCATGTTTTAAATATGTGCCAAACTATGAAGTTGCTGAGAATTGGGCAGCTTATAATTTGAATATATATTAACAATAAGGTTTTTCTAACATCTGATTTTAATAAGACAGGAAATGTCCTGCAATAGCTAACAAACTTCCTTTTACTTCCATGTTAACTGCATCAAATGTAAAATCCTGTCGGCAAAATCTGGAGAAATGCTAGCCTATTCAACTCATTTAATATTTAAGCTGATGTATTCAAACACACCTCCACAAATTAAGCAGATGGCACTAAGCAGGCCAGTTTCAGTGTCATCCATTTCCAATGGCAGAAGCTGATTGGCAAATGTGAACACAAGATCTGTCAGGGGACCAAATCCAGCATTATGCATCTGAGTTCGGTTTAGCGTAAGGCCATCAGAAAATGTCATTGTGTCTTGTTCAGGAGTATATCTTGTGCAAATGCGGAGAATCTGGGAAGGAAAAAAGGAAAGGAAGAAAGAAAAGTTAGGTCAACTCAGGAAGGTTAAAAATGATGAGTTTTGGAAATAATCCTCCTTATAGTTATTGCCTCCATCAATTGATTCGACTAGACCAAAATCTCTTTAAAATTTTGGAGCCATCACTTAACTAAATTATTTTTAAAAAATCCAATAGTGTACATCTTATGCCACCAAATACTAAATGTTAACTCAGAAGTTAAGACACAAGTATTGCAGTCCCTAAGAAATACTTGTCTGAAGCAAAATAGTTTAGATGTTTTAGGCCAAATGCTCACTTTTTTCTCTATCTTTTCTATGTAACAAATGTTTTAATATGTATCACATATGCCTTAATAAGCAGTACAAATTCTCTGCCTGCAATTATTGCAATTTTTCTTTAGAGTCAAGAAAGGGAAGAAGATGTACCATAGACTACAATGGAGTGCCTCTGTCCATTCAGGGTTGGAACTGATCAAGTCTGTTCTCTCTTTGTTTGTTGGTTTATTAAATTTGTTTGCCAGCCATATTGCAGCACCTCTGGATGATTTACAGCATCAAAATGAAACCATAAATACATATCTAAGCATATAAAATTACAATAAAATTGTACTAAAAATACAGGTAAAATAATATTATTATGTGGAAAACAAAATACTGCAATACATTTAATTTATAGCAATGTATATCCTGATTGAATGTTAAGAAAATCTTTCCAACAGTAAGAGCAGTTCAACCCTAACCCTAACTGATAACCAAGGAAATAGTCTACTTCCTATTGCTCAAATGTATTCAAATAGAAACTAGTCAGCCCTTATGTTGTGTTCTGGATTCCTTATAGCAGAAGTTTCCAAACTTGACAACTTTAAGAACTCTCAGAATTCGCCAGCCAATTGAAGTCCACAAGTCTTAAAGTCATCAAGGTTGGAGGTCCCTGCCTTACAGGACAGGATTTGGAGTTGAAGTTCCAGTGACTCATTCTAATTTTGAACACTCTTAAGAATCTTGCTAGAATTTATATGATAAATCAATCACATTGATGCTGGAATTTGGCAGCTTGAAATCTGAGTCCTCTCAGAATAATGGAACACAATAAAAGAGCTTTAGTAGAAGTCTTCTGGTCCAAACCCCTGCTCAAGCAAGAAACCCTATAATATTTCAAAAAAATGGTTGTCCAATCTCTTCTTTAAAAACAAATGTTGGAGTATCCACAAGTCACTGAAGTCAAGTCATTCCACTTATTAATTATTCTGTCAGGAAATTTCTCCTTAGTTCTAGGTTGCTTCTCTCCTTGATTAGTTTCCATCCATTGCTTCTTGTCCTACCCTAAGGTGCTTCAGGTTGGTTCCTTCTTCTTTGTGGCAGCATCTTAGGTACTGGAACACTTCTAATTGTGCAGAAAAAAGTAGTAGCCTGTCCTGCTAATAGCTCCTCATTCTGCATATTAATCTTTTTGGAGTTTTTCCATATAGTCCAGTGGAAGTATAGTATTGTGGGTAGTATGTGAGAAAGGAATGTTGCTAAAGTTGATCCTACATAAGAAAAGATCATCTTCAGAAATGTAAAAGCCTTTTGATCTGAGCGAGAATGAAACAAGGCTATCTACTTTCATAAGTGCTCCAACTTAACACATAAAGTGATCCTTTTGCTCAAATTATTTAATTTTCTCACTTCTGAAGCACTCAAGCTCTTAAGAACATACAAAGGTTCCATGTGTACTACTCCATCCTGTGGCTCCCTGCATCTCCTAAAAAATCTGAGACAGTAATTTATTAGGTATTCTCAATAATTATTAATTCGTTTCCAAATAAAATAATGCATCCTAACGAACCACTTAGTGGCCAAACAGAACATTCAATTCTAAAGAATGGTAAGACAATGGAGACTCTAAAGACTTCAAATATTTATTGGTTTAATTTTTATTTCTAAATGAATACATTGACTTATTTGGGGTACCTCATATTGATAAATGAATGGATTTTTTCCTCATTGTGGGAGGAACCATTTATGGCTTGTATTCATAAATATATTGTTTTCCTCATAGTGATAGCCCACCAATCTGGGATTCATGGAAGAGTGGCTAGATGAAAGCCCACTTGGAGTTTGCAAAAAAGCACCTGAATGACTCTCAGACTGTGAGGAACAAACTCCAACAGGGCTTTCATATGTTTTGCACTGAGGAGAGGCTTCCATCTAGCTGCTCTTCCATAAAGCCCAGATCGCTAGATGGCTGCAATGATGGTTGTCCTTCTGGAACTCTGTCCCATTTCCACACAGGATCTCTGGAGCTCAGTCAAAATGACCATCGGGTTCTTGGTCATTTCTCTTACTAAGGCCCTTCTCCCCAGATTGTTCAGTTTGATCGGGCAACCAACTCTTGGAAGAGTCTTGGTTGTGCCAAACTTCTCCATTTGAGAATTATGGATGCAATGTGCTCTTAGGAACCTTCAGTGCAACAGAAATTTTATTGTAGCCTTCCCGAGATCTGTGCCTTTTGATTATTCTGTCTCTGAACTCTGCAGGCAGTTTCTTTGACTCATGGCTTTTGGTCTGCTATATTATGCATTGTCAGCTGTGATGCCTTCTATAGAGAGGTGCATGACTTTCTAAATAATGTCCAATAAATTTAATTTACCACAGGTTGACTCCACTCAAGGTGTAGAAACATGTCAGCAACAGTCAAGAGAAATAGGAGGTATTAAAGCTAAATTACAGATGTTGTTGCAAAGAGTTTAAATACTTAGGTAAATGTGATGTTTCAATTTTTTCTTAAACTGAAATAAGTAAATTTACAGACATTTCTAAAATTCTGTTTTCACTTTGTTATTATGGAGTGCTGAATGTAGATTAATGAGAAAAACATGAATTTCAACAACAGTAGAATCAAGCTGCCGCGACAAAAGGGAAATGAGTCTGAATACTTTCTGAATGCACTGTATCTGTAATCAAGAGTAACTTTTTATCTTTAGAGAGAGTCCTGCAAGAAAAGAACTCCACCATAATCAATCCCATAATGCAGAGGTGGATAATTTGAAACCTAGTTTGAAAGAGGACCATAGTTTCATTTCATGTATTTGTTGGCCTGACAGCAATCAATTCAGACTTCTCAGCAAGAAGAAGATAGGGCAAGGGAAGAGAAAGCAAGCATAGAACAAAAAATAAAAAGGAGTGATAAGAAGATCATAAAGGGATATTAAAAAAAATAAGAATGCCAAGCCTACCTAACCACTTCTACTTTTCACCCCACCCAAACAGTGAGAACGTAATGGATCCCATGATGATCAGATACACACAAGAGAAATCTCTACATTGCTCCAGACAGGGGAGCAAGGAAAAGTTGTCAAGAATGCTAAAGATGGCACATATCCGCATGAGATATATTACCACCTGTACAAAAGCTTGATCCAATCCTGTCTGGGATCTAGGATGGTCCTTGAAGCAAGAGAGATTATAGATGATAATGTCTGGCTGCCGATAAATGTTCCAGGGGAATGGCAAGCTGAAAATATCAAGCAGCCTCTTAAGAGTGAAGAGTTGAGAGAAGTTATTATGAAAACTCTCTCTTAACCTTTATTTAAAAAAGCCATACCAGCAGTAATATATTAACCATTTATTAATCTATTCTGTCTCTCAACTGTCTCTCAACTTCCTTCTCAGAATTCTTTGTCAAGCATACTTGGAACTATGCTAGATTTTATAAAGCATGACATTACTTCACTATATCATGTTACAGCAGCATTAACTATGGCAGGCATGTAATTGATAATAGATGGCTCTGCCTTGAAGGAAGAGCACACACAATGAAAAGAAGACTAACAAATCTGAAAGCCTGTATGAAAAAGGACCCTGCTAAGTGCATCTTTGAAGTGCACACTAATCTCCTCTTGGCCTCTTCTCATCAGCTTGTAGTAGTGGTAGAGCTTTCAAGAAAGGGAAAAGGAGGAGGGTGGAGCTGGCGTCGTGGTGGTACGACGTGCAATCTCGAGGCTCAAGATTGCTGCCGATATCTCTGCTGTTGGACGGTCCCACCGAACCTAAACCGTCCTGTAGAGACAGTGACAGAGAAAGGCACATCCTGTTGATCCCAGGGACACCTCAAAGTCCCTGGTAGATCCAGGAGATCTACCCTTTTTGCTAGCGGCGGAGAGGCAGCCATTTAAGCTGCTGAAGCTGGGACAGCTCCAGAACAGAAGAGATCTGGAAAGAAAGTGTGTCAGTTTGGTGAGATAAATTTCTACTTATTTTTTGGAAAGAACACCCTAAAAGACTTAAAGTGAAATTAAAACTGAAGACAAAAGAGGTTAAGCAGTGAGATTAAGCTAAATTTAAACTGAAGGGTTTTTTTTCCTTTTTATTGGAACTTGGAATTTGGTTAAAGCTTCACAATTTTAAACTGGACTGGTCTTTTTCTCTATTTTTTTACTTTTTAAATAATCTCTTTGAAAGTCTCTTTTGATTAGGACTTTTTTTTTTAGCTTTTTCATTTGAGGTTTACCTTTTTCTTTTCTTTTTTCTAAAGACTTTACTTTTTTATTTATTCCTGGCTTTGGATATACAAGGGGAAGTGAAAGTGAAGGGAAATAAGTTAAACTTCCATCTAGAGGCTTGGATACATTATTTTTTTCTCTTTTTTACTTGTTTAGGCATTGGTGTTACATTCAAGGACTCTGAGCCTTTTACTGAAAAGATAGTGGAATGAGCATGGTAGATTGTTTATACAGGTGCTCTTCTGTGAAACTATTGATAGCCAGAGTCTGGAGTTGAAGTTGAAAGAGAGAAGATTGAAGTGACCTTGAAAATAGAACTGGAAATTTTGTTTTTTGATTTACCAAAGAGCCTTGGACATTTAAGTGGCAGTGGTTTGCTTCCAGTCAGAATTGTTTGTTATCCTTTTTTTTAAAATTTCCCCTCCAGCTGGATTTTTATGTTTGAACTTTAGCCTTTTGATCCAGGAATTAGAATATATTTTTCTTCCTTTCCTTTTCTTTTGTTGT